GTAGACAAAGCCAGGACAGTGCCCTGGTCTACACCCTGAAGGGCTGGGTGAGAGCCTGCAGCCCACTATACATCCCCTTTCAGTCCAGGGCCGCGGGACAGTCAGCTTTGCCATCCCTCACACCTGTCATGATGGACGGTCCCCATTACTGGTTGGGGGGCCTTGGCTGGGTGGCTCAGTTGGGTAGAGCATCATCCTGATACACCGAGATTGCAGGTTCAGTTGCTGGTCAAGGCACATGCAGGAATCAGCCAGGGAATACCTCAGTAAGTGGAACAACAAATCGACGTTTCTCTCTCTCTCTCTAATTAATTAATTACAAGAAAGCTGAGACACTCAGAAAACCTAGCCACCCATTACTGGTTGGTAAATCAAGCTCTCGGAGGCCCATGAACTGGCCTGGCGACCCCACGTAGCAGGACAGCCGTTCCATCGCTCCTCATTCTCATTCTCCTTCAGCTCTGCCTGCGTCAGCGCCTCAGCCCCTGTGAGATCTTGTCTGAACCACAGGCGGGGCAGGGGGATGAGTCCTCAATGTCCCCAAACTCCGACCAGACGCAGCACCGCCTGCCCTGCCGCCGGAGCTGGGTCTTGCCCTGCAAGCCACTGAGTCTGAGTGTTTCGACTCAGTTTTTATATGAAACGTGTGGTTGAGGGGTTTTATTTGGTTAGTTTTGGGCTTTTGTTGATGGGTATCCAATGTACATATGGTATCCCTTGGTTGAAAAGACTGGCCTTCCTCCGCTGAATCACTTTATCACCTTTATCAAAGGTAAGTTGGCCAATATTCCCTTTGGCAGCACATACGCTGAACTAGAAGTGACAGAGGAAATTACCGTGGGCTCGATGCAAGGACCTGTGTGCACATTGGTGAGGCCTTCTGTGCTTTAATGCCATGGGATTGTACATGGAAAACAGTTAAAATGGCAAATTTTATTGTGTGTAATTTACCACAATTTTTAAAACTTACTAATGTAATTTTATAGCCACCATTGAATTGTGCCCTTTAAACTGGGTGATTGTGTGGTATGTGAATTATATTTCAATAAAGCTGATAAAAATGCAGCCAGAGCAAAAACAAAATCATTTGGCTATTCTGTGAAGGTCTATTTCTGGCTTCTGGCTTCTGTGACTTTGATCTGTGCAGCCATGGAGTAAGCTGTAGCTATATAATGTCTGAAATTCAAGGAGAATGATTAATCCACTTTACTTTTGTATTTCAAAACTGCGTTAGCTTGCCTAGTTCCTTTGTCTTTCCATATCAGTTATAGAATACACTTGTCTGTACCTAGAAACATCTTGCTGGGATGTTGCTAGTTATTGCAATAAACATGTCGATCATTCGAGAGAGAATTGGCATCTTTATTATGTTTTTTCTTCTGGTCCATGAACACAGTATATCTGACCATTTATTTAGAGCTCCTTTGATTTCTTTCATCGGTTGTTTATACTTTCAGCGTATCTATACACATTTGGTTAGATTTGTAACTAAGTATTTCATCTGTTTACTGACTGATTATGAATGCTATTGTTTTATTATTTTTAGTGTTCATGTCTTCATTGGTAGTATATAGGAATACAGTTGATTTTTGTATATTGATCCTATATCCTGTGAACCTGCTAGAAATCTTTTATAGATTCTTTTGGGGGTTTCTATGTAGCCTATCATGTCATGTGTAAGTAGGGACAATTTTTTCTCCCTTCCCAATCTGTACGCCTTGTGTTTCCTTTTCCTGCCTTATTGCTTTGGCTAGCACTCGGCTACTGTGTTGAGGAAAGAGGTGGGACAGACATACTCTTCACCTTGCCCCCAGTCACAGTTGGAAAGTCTCTCGCCCTCAACTGTGAACCATCAGCTGCAATGTTTTTTGTAGAATTCTACATCAAGTCAATGAAATTCCCCTGGATCCCTAGTGTTTTGAAAGTTTTTACATGAGTGATATGATTGTGGGATTTGTCTTCTTCAGCCTATTAATATGATGGATTATATTGATACATTTCTGAATACTGAACCATCCTTGCATCCCTGGAATAAATGTTCCTTGTGATGATATGGATATATTGATATAGAGACATACATACACATACATATATAACTTTACAAATATACATATATTTTTACATCATGACCAAGTAGGGCTTATATTATTTATTATATTTATTTATATGGCATTATTTATGGTATATAAATCATATTTGTGTTTGCATTCACACGGAATTTTAATAACTTTTTATATACGGCATTACTTAGATTTTGGTATTAAGTTAATACTGGCCTCATAAACTTTTGAACAACAATAAAAAATTTTTTTAAAATCAAATTAACACACTATTGAAAGAAAGAAAACAAAAAAAGGGTTACCTCCTTCAGTTTTCTGGAAGTTTTTCAGTTTGGGTAGACTTGATATTCATTCTTCCTTAAACATGTGGTTATGTTCTTCAAAATTCTTCGTAAACAGTGTAAGCCTGGAGATATCTCTTTGGGGAGGGAGAGTTGCAGTTACAGATGAAATTTCTTTAATAGTTGGAGGGACATTCAGATGACCCATTTCACACTGAGTGGGTTCTGGTAGTTTGCACTCTTGGAGGATTTGGTCCCTTTCACCTGAGTGACCCTGTTTGTGTGGAACAGGTGTTTGTAACGCTTCCTTATTATGCTTTTGGGGTCTGAGCATCTGTAACCATCTCCTCTTTCAATCTCGTCCCAGGTAATTTGCATCCTCTCTTCTTTCTCAGTCTCGCCAGAGGTTCGTCCACTTCATTGATGTTTTCACAAGACCAGCTTTTTGTTGTATTGAGTTTTCTCTCTTGTTTTGCTGTTTCCAGCCTCACTGACTTCCACTCGTGTCTTCCTCATTTCCTTCCTTTTGCTGGCTGTGGGTTTACTCGGCTCGTTTCATAACGTGAGAGCACAGGCTATTGATTGGAGACCTTTACTCCTTCATAGCGGACGCACTCAGGGCTGTAAGTTTTCCTCTCAGCAGGGCTTTTAACCAAAGTTTACCTTACAGACTTGGATATGTTGTGTTTTTATTTCCTTCCCATTCAACATATATAGTTTTATTTCCCTGGAGATTTCCTCTTTGGCCCGTGGGTTACTTAGAAGTGCGCTGTTCAGTTTCCCAGTGATGGGGGTTTTTCCCACCGCTTGCCCCTCCCCCGTTGTTCTCTCCCCCTCCCCCTCCCTCTCCAGGAGGCCATCACCCGACTCTGCTGCCTTCTGCCCACCTTCTGATGGGCCTCCCCCCACAGCCCCAGGGGGGCCAGAGGGCAATCCTTTCCTCTACTTTAACAATTATTTTAACTATTATTATTTTTTTATCCTCACCCAAGGATATGCTTAGAGAGAGGGAAAGGGAGGGAGAAAAAGGGAGAGAAACATCCATCAGTTGCCTCTCATTCACCCCCCAACTGGGGACTGAACCCAAAACCCAGGCATGTGCCCCGACCAGGAATCGAACCTGTAACCTTTTGGTGTGGGGGATGACACTCCAGCCAACTAAGCTACACCGGCCAGGGCGCCTCCGCATTTTTACTTCCTCTTTCAACCTCCCTGGTGTTCCTCCCTACATGGTCTCTGGCCCAGAAAGAACACAGAGCACCTGTGTTTCTCCTCAGCTCTGTCCCTAACGTGCTCTCTCCCAGAATCACTGGAAGCGAGGGACTCGCCAGCAGACGCCTTAAGGTCACCCTGCCCCTGCCACGTGGTGCGATCCCTGGCCTCCTTGCTTATCCAGGTCTCTCTCAAAGGCCTTCAAAGGCTCCACGATTGGAACTGAGAACATTGCTTCCCTGCTTTCTCTACCTGCCCTGAGCCTGGATTTCAGGGCCGTCATCCTCCTGAGGAGGCTGGGGAAAGCCAGCATCGAGACGCGGGGCCAATCGGGGACCTTTTCGATCCTGGGAGAGAGTCACTTCAAAGGGGGAGGCGGCAGAGGAAACCCCGTTAAGGGAGAAAAGTGTGAACGGTCATGCGGCACACTCATTGCGGTGCGTGGGGCCGTACCCCATGCGCCCACCACTCCCCGGTGGGTGGCGCCCCGACCTTTGCTGGGAGCGGGATGGGTGGCTACATAAGGTATATAAGGCAGGCTCTGCTGTCCCAGCCTCAGGGCGCACAGCCGACAGGTGTGTGCCGGACACGCAGGCAGAGCCCTCAGGTGTCGCCACGCAGGCAGGCAGGGGTCCTGTACCACCGCGGGGTGTGTGTCGTCTGTCGACCTGCCTCCCTCCTGTTACCTGTGTTGTCGGGGCCCTGCTGGCTCTCAGACATCCCAGGGCTCCCGCACCTGCGGGGAACCCCGACGTTGCCGACAGGTGGCGGATCACAGGAGTCAGGATGCTGTTCGTGACAATCGCCCCGCTCCCCACGGAGACCACGGCGCACTGTCCGGGACAGCAGGGTGGTCCATGGGGTGCCTCCGGATCCCCGACAATGGAGCACCGTGCACCCCACAGGGACCAAGGTGTGGCCATCACGCTGGACTCCGGATTCCCTGTGACCGCGGCAGGTCCAGGCGGGGTGCTCTGGGCGCTGCAGCCGGGATGGGAAGCGGCCGCCTGACTCTGGGGTCCCGCGTGGGCCACGCCAGCCGGGGGTGTCACGGACGGTCAGAGCCAGGGCTCAGTCCGAGCACCTCGGCCACAGCGTCCGTACCGCGCCGGAGTGGCTCCCGCGTTCTCACCCCCCAGCCGTCGCCTCTCTCAGTCGGTACCGACCGATGAGACTCTTCCTGCCGGCCCTGGCCGACCTTCCGGTGCCTGTGCCCATTTAAAAGTGAAGGGAGGGGCTGGGGTCGTGTGGGGGGGGGAGGAAATTCAGGGGTGTGGGATCCACTATCGAGACCGTTGCAAGCTCGTACTGAATAGGCATTTTGGAATTTCAAAAGGTAGTATTTCGATTTTAAAATATAAAAAACTGAATTCTTCAAATAGAAAGGTGAAGTTCTCACTTTCGAGGAAATAGGAAGTGTCTCTCTCATTCTGGTGGCCTTTTCCAGAGTTCTCAGGGCCTGTGGTCTCACCCCTCCCTCCGGGCCACCATGGGCCACGTCCAGCAGGGGCAGAGCAGCGCTGGCCCGGACGCCTGACAGCCACGCGCCCCCGGGAAGTCGCAGCATCTGACAGTAAGCGAACGACAGGACAGGCGAAGACGGGCGGGTGGTGTCTGCGTGCACTGCAGCGTGCTCTGCCCGGGGGTGCGGAGGGTAACGCGTTCTCCTTCTCTGACGTGCCCCCAGGTGGACGTGGTGGAAGGAGAGACTCCCGGCCGAGGCCCCGGCGCGCGGAGAGGAGGAGGAGGAGGAGGAAGGCAGTCTCCTAGCTGGTGCCGTCAACATCAGGTGCAGTGACGTTCTTGTTTCCAGGCCGCCCCGAGCAGCCGTGACCCCCAAGGAGGAGCCGGGTGTGGGATGGGCATGAACGATGAACTCCCTGCCGGTCGCCAACGTCCCCGCCTGGCCGCCCCCGCCCCCCGCCCCTGTCCCCAACGTCTGCCCCCTTCCTGTCTCACCAAGGCACAGACGGCTCTGAGAGGTTAACCGTTATGTTATCAGAGCAGCAGCTCTGGGCGGAGATGAGACCAGCGTCCTGGCTCTGAAGCCCAAGGGTTACCTCGAAAGAAAGGACTGGACCCTCATGAGCAGCATGGATTTAAACTCCCCCCACAGCATGGACATTAGCTCCATGCATTCTTCACGTCAGTGTAAAGTGGTCTGTTGTCCGGACTGGGCTCGGCGCAGTCTCTGTAAAGGTCCGGGTAGTAAATATTTGGGCATCTGTGGGCCTCGTGGTGTCTGTTCTCACTGCTCAACTCAGCCACTGGCAGAGGCAGCCGGGACGGAATGTAAATGAGTGGGCGTGGCTGTGGCCAGTTCAACTTTATCTGCAAAAACAGGTGCACACCAGTCTGGGCCGCTACCTATGCAAATGAAGGGATGTGTTTGCGTTTTCTGAGCCGTGACCCGAGGCCACCCGTGGCTGGCCCAGCGCTGGTCCACTGGTGGGTCGCCGTCCCCTGCCCTGCGCTGGGTGCTCTTCCCTGGAGCAGCCCCTGATCCGGCGGCAGGGTGCCCGTTGCCTCTTTCTCGCTGGGATCCTGCTGCCTGGAGGTCTCGCATCCTTGTGAACCTTGTCAGACTGCTGGGCTGTGACTGGGCCGATGTTTGGAGAGACGGCAGATAGTTGTGGTCAGCAAGTGCGGTGTTTCAGCTGACTCTGGACTCACCGATGGGGGTCTTTCCTAAGAGCAGCGGGAGGGCTCACTGATAAAGGCGAACTGGGGGGGGGGGCGGGGCGGGCGGGCGGGGACGTGTTTCCCACCCCTGCCCATGCAGCTGGGAAGAGGATTAGAAATCCAGTGACTCCTACTGAGCCACTCCAAACGCCCTCGGGGATCATTTTTTTTTTTTTGTTTTTTGTTTTTGTTTTTGTTTTTTTAATCTGGTCTATCTTCTTTTCAATGGGTTGTCATTGGAATTGCCAGAATGTAGGGTCAGACGTGCCGGACTTGGTCACGGCACCTACAGATGCAGGATGCTTGACTTCGACTTCTATTACTTGATATCTCACATGGAGAAGCCAGCAGTTGTCCCAAACCAGCTCCAAAGCCTGTCACAGCAGGCGGAAGGGGCCCCGCCCCTCCCCGGGGCCTCTGCCTGCCCCAACCCCCGCAACTGCCCTGCACACGCCCACTCCGTGACCTTTGCTTCTCTTGTCCTCCCTGCAGATGGATGGTTTCTAGCCTGCTCCCCAACCCCACCTCGGCCGAGTGTTGGGCGGCCCTTCTACATGATCCTATGACTCTTGATATGGACGCAGTCCTGTCAGACTTTGTTCGGTCCACGGGGGCAGAACCTGGTCTGGCCAGAGACCTGCTGGAAGGTAAGCTCCCGCTTTGTCCCCAGCCCCCGTCTCAGGAGCCAACCCAGTGACAAAAGATAAGATTCCTGTTACCTGGCAACAGGAGCACTCGGGCTCTTTAAAAAGTAAAAGCAGTTGTCGGTGATGAAATTATTTGTGTTATTCTTGACTTTATTTTGGGATCACTCAGCTCTCCGCAGGAAAAGTGCAGAAGGCAATAGCTGGGCCTGGCTTTGTGTTAACGCTAATAGATAATGAGTCAAAACTGAGCAGTATTGACTTTTTTAGAGAAAATAGATTCAGTAGAGCAGAAATTAGAACATTCCAGAAACGCTTTTTTGGAGACCTGAGCTGCTTATCTCTATCTTAGCTGAGACAAAAATACTTTAAGCCAACAATGTTGATAGGAAAAAAAAAAACAAACCCAGTAGCCAGTTAAAAAGAAGGTACTAATTCACAAGTAAGAAGGCAAAAATCCTTCCTCAAGTTTTGAATCGATACCATTTGCTCCAGGAAAATGTGCATAATCCACATGTAGATGATTCAACTATAATCACAATGGACTAAAGATTAAAGTTTCTGTCCCAGTCTCTTAAATGGATTTATTTCGTGTAATTTTAAAATCTTTTTTTCTACGTGGTGGAAAGAGGAGCTGAGAAGAGCCTGTTATAACTTCTCAGGACCATCAAATGTGTAAAAGGAAAAACATTTAAATGACTACTCTTTGCTTCAAATGTATAAGCTGTCATTTGTGGAATTAGGCAATGCTCAGCCAAGTATTCTAAGTCACAACGGTTCCTTAATTCTCTTGGGAAGAGTGTGAATCATTGTAGATGTGTGTGAATGGTGGAGGTAACTATTCGACCCCATTGAAAAGCAAGAACCGCCTAGGATTCTGAGAAAACGGCAGTGATAATAGCGTAGTTATTAAATTTCCTTGAACCTCCCAGAATTTCAAACAAATTCGGGGCTTAGAATCAAATACGCTTCGAGAATGTTGGCCATGTATGTGAATCAAAGCCTGATCCTCATGTCCTGAGAGTCCCCTTGTGTGATACTTCCCTGACAGTGTCCATGGCTTCTCTCGACGTGACTGTGGACGCACGGGTCCAGAACGCGGTTGGCGGTGAGGGTGGGGTCCGATCTAGACTCCGCTACTCACCGGCACTGAGATGCAGAGCAAATTCTTTTACTTCCCTTAACCTCAGTTTTTTCTTGTATGTTAAGCCTAGCCCACCTTCCAAGGCGTTAAAAAACCAAACTTCATTCCAGTAAATTTGAAGATCTAATTGGCTTTATTAAGATTCACAAATCAGGCAGCACCGCATCTAGGATCATGCTGTGAGGGGCATGGCTAAGGACCATTGTATAACCCAGGCCATGAACCTACCGTGTCCCGCCCTGTATATATGTCCAATCAGCACCATCTGTTGAACATATTATTATTGCTCCTCCGCTGAAGTCAGAAACCAACTGAGCATATGTCTCTGGGGATCCAGTTCTTGATGCTGGTTCTGTTCCGCTGATCAAGATGCTCATTCCTTTGCCAAAACTACACCATCTTGATCATTATAGCTTTGTCGTGAGTCTTGAAATCAGTTAGCGTGATTCTTCCCATGCTATTTTTTCTTTTTCAAAAGTGTTTCAACTGTTCTGTTTCCTATGTCTTTCCATATAAATTTGAGGATCAGCTTACCTCTGTCTATAAAAATTTCCTGTTGAGATTTGGATTGAAAGCATGTTGAACCTATAAATAAATCACAGCTGTGTTTTGTCTTCCAATCCATGAAGTCAGTATAGCCATACTTTTCATTTATTAAGGCCTTCTTGGAGTTCTTTCATAAATATTTTGTAGTTTTTCGCATATAGATCATATACACCGTGTGTTAAATTCATATCTCTCGGGGTTTCTGAGCTATTATAAATGATATTATTTTTAAATTTCAGTTTCCAGTTGTTCATTGCTAGTACAGAGAAATGTAATTGATTTTTCTGTGTTGCCCTCGTACCCTGACATCTTGCTCAACTCGATCGTTTGTTGTATGGGGTGTGTATGCATTGGTGTGTGTATATTTCTTGGGATTTTCTACATAGACAATCATGTTTTCTGTGCATATGGGGAGTTTTAGTTCTCCCTTTTTAATAGGTACGTCTTTTATTTTTCTTGACTTATGGCATTGGCTAGGACTTCCAGTCAAAGGCCGAGTGGGTTGGTGAAAGAGAACATCTTTCCCTTGTTCATGACCTGGGGGCAGTATCAGCCTCTCGCTGTTGTGTAGAATGTGAGCCGTAGGTTCCCAGAGAGGATCTTTCTAAGGTAGAGGAAATTTCCTTCTGTTCCTTGTTTCATGAGAGCTTTATCATAAATACGTATTAAGTTTGTCAAATGCATTTTCTAACTCAATTGCTATAATCAAGTATTTTTTCTTCTTTAAACTGCTAATATAAAAGTTACATTGATTGCAATAATAAACCAACCCTCAGCCATTATTTATTTAAATTTTTCTCCTCATTCTGGGACTCAGATGACATACATGCCTTCCGGAATTTGTTATTGTCCTATAGATTCCTACGCTCTATTCATTTTCCTCTTCACTCTTTTCTCTGTTGTTCAGATTGGATGATTTCCATTGATCTATTTATAAATGTACTGACTCCTTCCTTTGTCATCTCTGTTCTGTTACTGAGCCCATCCAGTGAGTTTTTTATTTTGGTTCTCGAACGTTTTCATTTCTAACGTTTCCACATGTTTCTTCTTTATATCTTCTATCTCTTTGCTGAGACTTTCTATATTTATAAAGGGTCTTCTCTCTTACATGTTGGAAAATATTTATAATAACTGCTTTAAAGTCTTCATCTGATAATCCCCATATTAATTTTATCCCAGCATTGCTATTAAGATTTCTCTGGCTTTCCTTTGATCCTCCCTATTTCCTACAGAATCATCTCCACGTGGCGCCCACGTGTCTCCAGCATCTGGTCATACATATTCGGTCCCCTTGGCCTTATCCGCCACTGCGTTCCTTCATCTCCCTTCCCCCAAACCACCCCCATCTCTGTGCTGAGCTCCGGCTGCCCCGCCCCTAAACACACTCTCTCTCCTCCTTGAACTTCAGCTCCTCCTCCAGGTTGGATGTGAGCCCCATGACAGCAGGGACCACCTGGGCTTTGCTCTCTGGGTCCCCACAACGCCTGGCACATGCCAGTCCCTCCATGGAATGATTTGGCTGCTGGAGATACAGCAGTGATCAGCCAGACAAAAGTCCTCATCTTCATGGAGACAGGCAATAAGCAGCGTAAATAAGTTATAGAGTATTTTATGAGGTTGGCCAAAAAGTTCATTTAGGTTTTTCCATACGATGGCTCTGGTAGCGCTTAGTTGTCTTTACCTTCATTAGAAACAGTTGTGTTGGAGTGTATTGTGACAGCTGCCACATCAGCAGGCATTAAAAAAAAAAAGTTATCAAAATTGGTGAATTTTGTGCACTCATTTTAATATTGAAGATGGAAGAAAATACGCAACATTTTCCGCATATCAGGCTTTATTATTTCCAGAATGGTAAAAATGCAACTGATATACAAAAAACATTTCTATGGTGTATGGAGAAGGTGCTGTGACTGAGCGAATGTGTCAAAAGTGGTTTGCAAAGTTTCTTGGTACTATTGACATTTTGGCCCAATAATTCTTTGCTGTGGGGCTGTCTTATGCATTGGAAGAAGTTTAGCAGCAGCCCTGGCCTCCCCCCACTAGAAGCCAATAGCGGGAGACAGCTGGCATACTCAGAATATACAAATCAATCTAGTTATTGGTGAAAATAAGAATGTGTCTTTTATTTCATGGGAAAAAAACATACAGACTTTTTGGGAAACCCAGTAGTTGTTAGTGCCACGGAGAGAATGATATGAAGGGGAGGAGGGAGAGTCTGTGGAGTGGGTGCCTTTTTAAACCAGGGTTGCCCGAGAAGAGCCTCGCTAATTAAAACTGGGATCTGAGCAAAGATGCGGAGGCTGAGAGTGAAGAAGTTTCTAGGAAGAGCTGGAATTCACTGGTCCTTCCTTGCCATCCCTCAAAGCTGTGTGGACTTCTGTCGTAAAATATATTTCATTGTTTCTTATTTTATAATTAATCACATACTTAACTCCTGATTAGAGAAGTTCTGAAAAACAAAGACAATAGCATCGACAATAGTATCAGCACTTACAGTGCATTGTTTTACGTCAGATGCTCAATGTGAAACTGCATTGAATCCACACACCCAATTACAAAAGAGTGAGCTTTCCCATTTTACAGGCAAGAAAACTGAGGCCAGGACAATTCCCTGAAGTCACGCAGCCAGGATGTGAGCTCAATCATGTCCCTAAGTGCCAGGTTCTTTCTGCAAAGTGGTCACCTACTATTTATCTTTGTACCCACTCTTGCAGAGGTGTCTAAACTGTGGCCCTCAGGCTGCGTGCGGCCCAGGGCGTTTGTGAATGTGGCCCAACACGACATCGTCAACTTACTTAAAACATTATGAGATTTCTTTTTTGTGATTACGTGTCGCAGTGTATTTACTGTGTGGCCCAAGACACCTCTTCTTCCATCATGGCCCAGAGATGCCAGAAGGTTGGACTCCTGTAGCTGCATGCACACAAAAAAGCATTAATGAATCACCCAAAGAACATTTTTTACGAACCCATTTTATGATGTGGCTAATCAACTTTTCAAATGAAATATGACTTCAGTAGACCACCAACACTATTCTAAAAATAGACGTACTAGCTAACATTCATGAGCCCAATGCTGTCTGGCTGCTTTACACATATTAGTGAAAAAGCATTTTTGTAACTCTTCTCCTGAGAATATGTTTATTGATTGGAGAGAGAGAAAGAGAGAAGAACATCGGTGAGAGAGAGAAACATCAGTCTCCTGTAGGCACCCCAACCGGGGATCGAACCTGCAACATTTTGGTGTGCGGGACAACGCTCCAGCCAGCTGAGCCACCCGGCCAGGGCTTAGAAAGATTGTTGAGTGGGAGGCCAAACACATGTGAGTTGCTTATAAAATGTCAGCTCCCTCTTTAAAGAGAAAGCAGCTCTCGTCCTTTTGTAATCACTGAATTTCAGTCCTTGCCGCTCTAACAAGATATCCTTCGGTGAGCCCGTGCCTCTGTTTTGTGGCTACCCAAGTGGGAGGAAAAAATCCTTGGGCAAAGCAGCCAGATTGCATTTAGGAAAAAATTAACTGAAAATTAACCTCTCACATGCGCCTAGTGTAATCTTTCATAATTTTGTGGAATTGGCAAAAATTAAGGAAAATGATGGCAACTGTGTTTGATTATATGTATATATATATTTTTTTATCATGTAGGTTAAAATGTCTGTATTTTTAACAGTCGATTTGATCATTTGAGAACGACAGCACTTAGAGACGTTTGTGGGGAAATGCGTCCTCTTCCTCAGCCGCGTCCCTGGGTGTCGGGCACGCACGGTCTGGAAATCTGTGTGCGGTGTGCGCTCTTGGTCCCCTCACCCAGGCGACAGCTCCCAACCCCTTGCCAGTCACACTGACAGGTAATTCCATTAACGTTGACATTCGGCCTTTGGGAGCTCTCCCGTGACTTGGGAGCAGCAGCTGCTGACTTGGATAATTGCAGTAATGCCCAAAGAGTATGTACACCCAAGACGTGGGGGTGGAGACAGCTGAGGCAAGAAAGTGTGGAGTAAAAACTGCAGCTCGGCCCCGCAGCAGGTCCTGGGGCGCGCCCGCAGCAAGGCCACCGGCGCCGGCGGGGAATTACGCAGGGCGGGCGCCCAGAAATCACACGTGCTGGGCGAGGCGAGAGGAGCTGAGGGCTTCTGCCAGGGCGCAGCCCAATTGCCGTCGCTGACCCAGGACTTAGGGACCCTGGAAAGGGAGGTGGGCCCCAGAATGGTTCTTCTGTTCATTAAAATGAGAACCAAAAGTGTCCCAAGCCTGGATATACCAGAGTCTCCTTTCCCCGAGATCCAGGGACATCGGATACTCAGACCAGAGCACATGCCATCTGATTGCCAGGAGAGTCTCTGCTGGACCCCAGTCAGCATCATGTGACTACAGGGCTGCTGTGGGCAAGTCCCGCATTCCCGAGTGGGCAACAGGAAAGTGGCCTGGTGACTGTGGATCCTCAGCAGAGGAGTGAGGGAAGACCATCAGAGGGCCTCGGGCCAGTGTTGGAACGAGCTTGTCAGCGGGTCTAGCAATCCTGAAATGAACCCACTGGCCACTCTGCCCACTGTCCTGTCCCCATGAGGGACAGGCTTCCATTGGACTAGAGATATTTGAGATAAAATGGCCCAAAAAAAATCCCACGCAGGATCACACTTCCAGGCCACCTCCTCTGGCCTGGCCCCTCTCAGGACATGTTCCTCGTCAGAGAGCTGAGTGCATGCCAACGCTCTTGAAACGCTCAGAGACCCGGCAGGACATGTGGGGCGGGTGTCCTTCCGGCGCGCTGAGCAATGCAGCATAGGCCTCATCGCCCTCTCCTCTCCGTTGGGGAAGACGGCAGCCCCGGCCGCCAACACGGGCCATTTTATTGGTCTTATTCACAAGGCTCTTCCATCTTGGCTGCTTGAAATTAAATGCTTCCTCCCTGGAAGGGCCCCCCACCTCCAGCGCAGACTCTTTCCCCGGGGAGGGGGGGGGGTCTCCACGTGGGCGACCCCGTGTCCTCCTTTTTCAGGCTCGTCCACCTCACTGCCCTGACGCGCGCGTTCCTCCCGGGCTCCCCGCCCTGCGCACCCAGGAACACGGCCTGAAGTGAACCGGCAGGACGATGGCCTGGAGCAGAGCGGCCCTGCGGGGAGCCCCTCTGTGTGGCCGGACTCCCATACAGCTAGGCCCTTTCGAAGCAAAAAGTCACCGTGCGCACTGAAGTCCATCTTTAGAAGCGTTTGAGGAGGCAGGAAAGCGGGGCGCACGTTAAGAACTCGCACATAAGCAGAAGCCTTGGTGTTGTCGGCTGGGTGTCGCCGCCCAGGGCGGAGGAGCGTGGAGGGGCCCCCCACCTTGCGTGCCGAGCAAACCCCTACTGCTGCCATCGACCAGAGTGTGGTCCAAGAGCAGAGCCCGGGTCCGCGTGGGACGGAGGCTCCGGATGGGGCATGAATTGACTGGGTGGAGGCCTATGGGCGTGTGTTACAGGCTGCGGGTGTTGTGCATACTCCAGTAAAAAATACGATTAAATTGTAAATGATGCCGTGCTATAAAGTAAGTATCATAATTGATAGTATCCAGCCTGCCCTAGAAAAAAAGTAGAAAAAAATGGATAGACCCTACAGGAAGCTCTTCAGATGTTATTTCACACATCCAAAGCCTCACTCCATCATGTGAACAAAGTAATTGAGCCTGTAATTAGTCAGTATTGTTAATACCTGCCAGTCAGAGCTAACTAGGACAGGGTATGATTTTATCTGCTCTTCCAAATCAAAGCAAGGGGTTGAATTTTTTGTCTTCGAAAAGGGCGCAATGCCTCGTTGAATCAGGGGCAGGGTGGGGCGACCCGTCCCTCCCAGGAGAAGTCAGGAGCTCCAGCCGCTGCGGTCGCTCCCCCGGGGCTTCGAAGACTCTGCGTCAGCGCTGGCCACGGCCCTGCCTCCGGGGCAGAGCGCGTGGGCCCAGCCCCCGACCCAGTGCCACGCCTGAGCCCTGAAGTCCGCCTCCGGCTGTGGCCACCCCACAGAGTCCCTCCCAAGGGTCTGGTTTTCCCATGTTGAGCACAAAAGAAAACAGAAAATCCTGAGCCAAATTGGGGAATTCTTTTTATTCACTTTTTTGCTTCACGTTTCGGTCCTCCCTGGAATAGGCTCTACAACTTGATTTCTGAAAAAGGTGTGATAGGAACATCATATGTTGGTGTTTGTGTGTGTGCGTGTGCGCATGTATTCATCTAAAGGCTATGGATTGGATATAATTGCATATTTCGGGTGCACAACAGAGGTGGTTGTGAAATTCTATGCTTTGAGGCTATGCCTGAGGTCGCCGTGTCCCTTCGAGGACCAAGTTCGTCGGTTAAATGCTGGCGAGAAACCCTTCTTTGCGCGGTTATTTTCTCCAGCGAGCCCACCACGCGTGCCTCAGCGTTGCCATCTCTCGTCATTCCTTGTCCACAGGCAAAAACTGGGACCTGACCGCCGCTCTGAGCGACTATGAGCAGCTGCGCCAGGCGCACACAGCCCACCTACCGCATGCGCTCAACGAAGGCCGGAGCCCCAAGCAGCCGGAGCGGGAGGCGCCGCGGCCCGGGCCCAAGGCGCAGCGGCCCTGCCTGCGGAGGCAGGAGGACACCGCCCCAGGTGCCGGCGGGGGCGGGGCCGGCACGGGGTCCTGGGCAGGGCGCAGGGGTTTGCAGGGGCTGGGGCTGCGAACAGCGGCCTCCCCGAGGCGGGGAGTCCAGCCCCACTGCGTGTCCCTGGAAAATCAGGAAAAGCAGTCAGGCCGGGGGGATGGGATGAGTCCTCCCTGAGTCCCGGGTTCCACAGGCCCGACGTCTCAAGTTCCTTCAATTCGTCCCCAAGTCACATAGTCTCCACATCTCTTCAACCTCGACATTCGTCTTCCCTTGCGCTCGCGGGCTCCATTCTCCTCTCCAGTCCTAAAGTAAGATCTGCTTATTGTAACAAAGGGCCCAATGCAAAGAGACAGAAAGAAAACTGGCTTCTTTTCCGCACCCCCCAGTCCCACGGGAGTCCTGACCAGCGACAAGTCCCAGTCGGCCTCCCTCCTCTCGCTGTTTGTTCCAATGCAAACACCCCAGAGGCAGATGCGCGCTACACTTTGCAAATTGCTCCTTTCATCGGCCCATAAATCATGGGCCTGTTCTCCACATAGTTTATTCCACAGTGTCCCCTAATTTTTTTTTAATTTATTTTTATGGTATTTTTTATTACCATTTGTGCCTACAGTAATTTTTAACCTCCCCCCGCCTCCCCCGCCGTAGGAATGGTTATTCTGTCTTTTTCTGGGCTTTTGTAGTGGCTGTTTGCTTTGGACGCTACCAGTGATGCTAAAATAAACTTTCCCCCTGTTGTCTTGCACACCGGTGCTTTTCTTTCCACAGAGCAGGATTCCCAACGAGGGTTGGCTTTGCCAACGCATGTATTCGCCATCTAATCTCTTGAGGAACCCCTTCCCAAACACGGTTCTGCTCACCACGTGTGAACCTGGGCGTCGCCCTTCCTTCTGGTCCTCGCGATGGTTTTATGCCACTTTTCCACGCCGAGGAGGGGAAAAGAGCATGTTGTTTTAACTTTCATCTGGTTGTTTGCTCGCCAGCCACTTGAATTTCTCCTTCTGCCACGTGCATGGCACAAAGTTTGTTCATTCTCCTACAGATGTGTTTGCATTTTTCTTATCCATTTGTAGCATTCAAGCCTCATTCTATTTTTTAAATTATATTTTATTGACTATGCCTTCAGAGTTGTCCCAATGTTTCGCCCCGTGTCCCCCACCCACTCAGCAACGCCCCCCACGCCCTCAGGCCATCCGCATGGCGTTGCCCACGTCTGTGGGTCATGCGTGTATGTTCTTTGGCAAGTCCCTCACTTTCTTTCCACCAGCCCCCCTCCCCCTCCCTTCCGACAGCTGCCAGTCTGCTCCATGTGTCCACGCCTCTGTTTCTGTCTTGCTGGTTGGTTTATTTTGTTCATTACATTCCACATAGAAGTGAGATCATGTGGTGTTTGTCCTTCCCCAACTGCAAGTCTCATTTTACTGTGTATACCACACAATTCAGCCTAGAGTTCATCGCGCGCGCGCGTGTGTGTGTGCATACATCCCAGCTGTGTCGTCTGCTTCATGACTTTGTTCGCAGGCTATTCTGCAGCACACAATGTTTGCCTCCCTCTGCATTCAGGGCTGGTGGGTGTCTGCTCTCGCCGTTGCACGTCTCCTGGGATGCAAAATTACGGACCTGTTTTCCCCTCTTTGTTTTTCAATTTTGCCCCTAGGTCTTTTAACGGATTTGCAATTTTTATAAATAGTGGCTCAGGATCTACTTTTGCTTCTTCTGGATCGAGAGAGTCACTCTAGCATGTTTATTGAATAAGGATAGCTTTTCCCACCGAATTAAAATGCCAATTTGGCTATATATTAAATTGCCAAAAAGGAGCGCTGGCCGGGTAGCTCAGTGGGTTAGAGTGTTGTCCCCACACACCGAGGCTGTGGGTTTGATCCCTGGTCAGGGCGCATACACAAATCAGCCGCTGAATGCATCAGTAAGGGGAGCAACAAATTCCCAAATCCGCCCGGATCTCTTTCTGGGCTCCGCCGATCTGTGCAGCACCCATCTCGTTATATACATCGCTGAAGTGGTTTCCTACAGCATTTCTCTCGGCTTAGGCCAAGTTCCTCTACTGCTATTCTCTTCCACAAATCTTCTCCTGTTTTCGGATATCCGTTCTGCCCTAGGAGCCTTAGAATTAGAACCCTGATTGGAATTGGATCGGATTTTTATTTTATTTTAGGAATAATTGGCATGTTGTAATACTGCGCTCCCATCCAGGACTTTTACCTGCGCCTCTCCATTTATTCAGACCCTGTTAAGACTTTCGGCATCGAGAAAAGTGACTTATTTTCTGCATCTTTATCTTTCATCTAGCCATTACACAAATTTTCTTATTAGTACTAGTAGCATTGATTCCCTTATGCAGGCCTTTCAGATCGCTTAAGTCTTGTAAACATATAACCACAGCACCTGAAGTAAGTTAAGAGCCTTAGTACTTGCACAGTGAACTCCGTCCATCTCCTGCTGCGCCCGAACCCGCCATGAGTAGACGCCGCCTTTGCGCCCGTCCGCTCAGCCTCATGTCGTCCAGCTGGGCTGGAATCTCTGTCTCCCCCCGCCCTGCAGAAAAGCGCCTCTCCCGGGGCATCTCCCACGCCAGCTCCGCCATCGTCTCCCTGGCCCGGTCGCACGTGGCGGGCGAGTGCAGCAGCGAGCAGTTCCCCCTGGAGATGCCCATCTACACGTTCCAGCTGCCCGACCTGAGCGTGTACAGCGAGGACTTCCGGAGCTTCATCGAGCGGGACCTGATCGAGCAGGCCACCATGGTGGCCCTGGAGCAGGCGGGTGAGTTGCCCCCCCACCCCCGGGCCCATGGGCCAAGGCTTAGGGACCCAGCGAGGCTTCCCGGTGGGACTCTGGATGGGGAACCCAGCCGCCTGCTCCGAAGCCAGGCGCTGCCCCAGCCCGGCGCTGCCAGCGCTGGACGGAGGGGTCCGTGACGGCGCAAGGCTGAGGTCTCCTGAATTCTCGCTTCCTTCCTAAATCCAGCCTGGCCAGGCCCATCCCCTCCCCACCGTGCACCCGCCCAAGGAGAACCCTGCGCAGCTCCGCCGAGCTCCCTCCTTTTCCAACCCCCAGGGGGCGCCCAACAAAAATAACACAGGTCGTGGGCTCTGAGGAGAAGAGGGGACCTACCGCGACCTGCGGACTCGCGCACGTCCTGTGACCTCCCGAGCCGCGGTTGCCCGTCCCCGGAAATGGGAAGACGGGCCCGGCCCCGTGGAGCTCCCTGAGCGTTAAACGGCCCACCGGCGCGCCGTGCGTAGCTAAGAATCGCTCGCCCTCCCCCGCCTCCCCAGCCTCCAGGTCGAGGAAACAAACGTGCCTTCAGCCTCCTCCTCCTCAAGGTCTCCTCTGACCTCCTGATGAGGAAGGGCTTCAGGCAGCGAGCCCAGCCTGTCTCCTTTGCATTAAATAATTTGCAGAAAACCAATGTCTAAAGAGGACGGAGGTCCATCCTGAGACAGAGACAACGCCTGTCTCACCAGAGTCGTTTGCATTATAAATCCTGACGAAATCACATGTGGGGGACGGGGGGCTTCTCGGACACACACATGGAGGACTGTGCCCTTGTTCTGAGGCCACGGAGCATCCCCTGGGGGGCCCAGCCGGCCTCGGGGGCTGTCAGCGCACGCACGTGGCGCGCAGACGGGGAGCCTCTGGCGGAGCCCGGGGAGCGAGGGGGCGTGAGAGCCTCAGCCGGCAGGCGCTGCCCCGGCGCGGGCGGGCGGCGCGCAGGCACAGCTGGCATCGCCGGCGCTCTGGACGGTGCACGAGACCAGAGAGGAGGGTCCACGGGGTGCTGTGCTCTCGACCTTGGCGGCCGTCCCATCCTTCCCGGGCAGCCCTGGTTGGGCAGAAAACGAGGGGGATGAGGCGATTCCGCGAGGGGGCTGTTGGCCGAGGAAGGGGCAAGGTGGAGGGACGCCAGCAAAGGCGCGGAGAGCAGACCGGCCGTTCCTGCGGCCTGTGCAGGCCGCCCTGTGGGTGCGGAACAGGTGGGGAGGGGTGGCGCACCCATGTGCAGGGCAAATGGGAACCACCCGGAAAGAGCCGCCTGGCAGAGGGGCTCAGGTTCGAAGGCGGGGCTTGTTCGAGGAAGGCGGGGCACAGGAGCTGATGCCCTGAGGGCTGGGGGACTGGGAGAAGGCAGCTGAGTAGCAGCCAGGGGCCCAGGGAGGCACGTGATGAGCAGGGCAGCGTGGAGTTTGCATTCACACGTGATGCGAGTTCTGGCTGCTCTGCTGGGCAGCAAGGGATGAAGCGGAAAGAGCAGGCAGCAGGCAGCTGCTTTATGCCAAAGAGGAGTGGGCGGCCAGGGTTGTGCGGTAGCAGTGGAAGTGACCAGAAGCAGGCAGATGACAAAGCAGCGTCTGTTCTGAAGGTGGACAGATAAGACATGCTGCTGGGATGGGGGACACGGGGAGGGCAGAAGAGCCAGGCACGACCCCAAGAACGTCCCCTTCGCATGCGGGTCAGTGGAGGTGCCGAGATGCAGACCCCTGGACCAGGGCAGGTGTGGGGGGCGGTGGAGGGGCCAGAAAGGGCAGGCATAGTCTGAGGTCCTGGGGGCAGTTACAAAGTGGCTGACCTGCGGAGCATGCGAGGCTGGGGTTCTGGTGCACCCTGCGCAACGTGAGGTGACCCCAGGGAGGCACGAGTTCATCGTGGGCCCTCCCACCAGCCCCCGGCACAGCTCTGGGTGACGTCAAGGACCGGGGATGAGGCATCTGGAGCCAAGCGTCACAATCCCGTGGTGGGGGCGGGGGACACACAGAGACACACACGAGGCCCGGGGTGCCCGGGGAAGGGGGTCCCGTGGCCCTGGGCGGGTGTGGTCTCCCCAAAAGGACCACCTTTAGAGCAAGGAGCCCCTCGTCTTTCTCGTAGAGACTGGTCACGTTTTGTTTTCTCTTCCCTCTGAGTGCCTTCGTGGGTGATGGGCAAAATGACATCTTATTTTAAGCTGTGCAGTAACCATATGTTACAAAGCTCAAGCTAACTGGTCCCGTCATCATGCATGAATCAGAAGAAAAGGCCAGATGACTAAGAGCTCCTCCCCCCGGGAGCCCACCAGCCTCCCTTCGTGGGGTCTGTCTCATTTTCTCCTTGGCGGGAGCTCAGGTTTCTGTTCAGTTTTTTAATAGTCACGGCACCCGTTCCCATGTCGTTTCTCGGTTTCTCAGCGATGCTGCTGGGCGGGGAGCTCGAACGACCACCGTCCCAGAGAGGAGCTGCTTCCCCGGGCACCCCGCTCTGGGCATTTGAAACATTTTAAACATGCCTGCTTATCATGTCTAGCAGACAGTTTCTACCCTCGAGTTCATAGGTCTCTGTGAGCAGCTGGCTTGGTGTTTATGGCTCCGACTCACAGCGGCTTGATTCCAGTTGGGTTCGTAACTGTGGGTTGTGAGCAGGGTGTTACCTGTGGGGATCTTGTGTGGCCTGCGTTGAGGGTCTTCTCAGCTATGTTGAGAGAGATGGATTTTTTTTTAAGTCCAGATTCTCAGGGGAAATCACCACCCGATAACAATTTTTATGTTAATTTCTTGGTTTCCAGGTCCTAAGCCACAAACCAATATTAGCTCAAATCAGAGCCACGTCAATAGTTACAACATTTCTGGTAGGATTTGTTTTTTAATATTTTATTTATTTGTTTTTGGAGAGAAGGGGGAAGGGAGGGAGAAAGAGAGGGAGAGAACATCGATGTGAGAGAGAAACATTGATCAGTTGCCTCTCACACATGACCCGATCCGGGACCGAACCTGCAACCCAGGCATGTGCCCTGACCGGGAATCGAACTGGAGACCCTTCACTTTGCAGGATGATGCCCAGTCCTCTGAGCCACACCGGTGTGGGCTCTGGCAGAACGTGGTTTTGGTTGTTATTCCTCTGCTAAGCCCAACTTAGAAGAGACCAGTTTCCCTCTCAGTTTCTTTGCCAGTAGGAAAATTATTTCTAATCCTATAGTTTTTAAGAGTCTTAACTGTATGTGGAAGGGAGCGGGATCCCCACTTCCAATTCCCCACATCACAGGTTCTCGGGGCCTTTCTTCTGGTTTTCTGGGAGGAACGGGGGAAAGGAGGAAACGGCACGTGCCTGGGTTGCAGGCCAGGTCCCCGGTTGGGGCACCGAGAGGCCACCAATGGGCGTCTGTCTCTGACATCGATGTTTCTCTCCCTCTCTTTCTCCCTCCCTTCCCTTCTCCCTACAAATAAATAAATAAAATCTTTTAAAAGAAAAAGAAGAAAGAAAAGAAATTCCAGGAAGCCTGCCGCCAATATATCGCTCAGGTTCTGAGATTCCAGGCCAGGAGGACCTCGCGCCCCTGTTCAGTCTCCTATATCCTTTTAGACATAATGTCCAAGAGTTTTAGTTGTGCATAGTTGAAAGAATAAGGAAAAATATGTCTATCTTCCTGGAAACGGCAGTCGCAAGACATGTTAATGCAATTTAACCCAGCTCTACCTACGTAGCTATAATGGTCTGGCTGTATGAAATGAAACATAAACCATACTTTCAAAGGTACGTAGGCACCAACAAAGAAGGATGATTCAAGGAAAAAAATAACTCTCAGGAAGAGAAACTGTGTTGAAGGAAATTACACAACAGAAGTTTTACATTTTGTGTAAAGTACGTCCCCAGCTTCACGGAGAGAAGGCTTTGGTGTTGTTTAATCCTCTCGCTAATTGATGGGAGGATTTGACCATCTGGTATCTTGGAAAGACAAGAAAACCTACATTTTTTTTTTAAGAAAAAGTAGCCATAATGCTCCCGCTTCCCACCGAGGTTCTCAAACACCCCCCAGAAAGTCAGCCGCTGACGCCTATGCTAACTTTGCAAACACACAGTGGTCCCGCCGGCTGTGGAACCCTGTTCCAAAGTGACCTCCCGTTCCAGGTCGCCTGAACTGGTGGTCCGCCGTGTGCACGAGCTGTAAGCGGCTTCTTCCTTTGGCCACGACGGGGGATGGGAACTGCCTTTTACACGCGGCCTCGCTGGGTAAGCTTCATGGCACAGAGGGTGGCGGTGTCCCAGGCCTGCTCTGTGCATCGGGAAAGGACAGACGTGTGCTAAATAGAACCACAGGCGTCACTGTCATGGGGAAGAGCTCCCAGCAATGCCAGCTCTCCTCCTCAAGTACTTGGCAGGCTTGGGGGAGGGGGCGGACATAGAAAACACAGGAGAAAAGACCTGCCATGATAGAAGGAGGCCTGGGTGGAGCTGCAGGGATGGGGAATAGCAATGATGACTAGAGAAATCCAAGAGGACTTCCTAGAGGAGGTGGGGTTTTTTTGTTGTTTTTTTTTTTTACAATTTCCATTTCTATCTATCTGTTGCCATCACAAAAGGATTCCACATTCATCGTGGAAAAAAAACACACACAAAAATCAACACTCCTACAGCAATGGCTACTTTTAGTGTGTTGGCATATTGCCTTTTAGTCTTTTTTTTCCCCCCCAGTAGAGCTATGATCTCACTGTGTTACAGCTTGGAATCCAACATCTTCCCCTTAGAACTCTATTGTGACTTTTCCATGCTTACTCTTCAAAGACACGTGATAGTTCATCATAATGTATGACTGTCTCCTCCCATTACGGGACACGTTTCACTTTGTTCCGTTTAAAACCTGGGAGAAGAACATAAACGAGAAATGTCCCATCTGTGCCCACCCGCAGCCTCGCTGCAGGGTCTCGGGAAGGCAGGTGCCTTTCTCCTTCGGAAACCGTAGCGAGCAGAGGCTCTGTCCCCACCAGCAGCCCGGGGGCCACACGCCACTGTGGCCTTGCCTGGCTTGCGCCATCGCCCCCTCCTCCCGGCCCGCAGTGGACGGTGGCGTCCGCCCTACTCCTCGGGGGACTGAGATGCGTGGGGGCTGCTGGCCGACCCTCATGAAGCCGAGGTCTGACTAAGACCCGAACTTGGGGTCCTCCGTGAGACAGGCCATCCGCTTGTCCCCACAGGCTGTCTGTCTGAAGCCCAAGACTTGTGCGGTGAACATTAGACCCCTTAAAGCCAATCTGAGGGACCGAGAGTGGCTCGCCCAGGGCCCCGGAGGGCATCGCCCGAGGTCACTTGCTATTGTTTTGCTCAGAAGGGGGCGTGCGCCTTCGTGAACCTGCTTATGTGGCCAGGAAACACCAGGCCAAGAGCAGAGGGCGGCTGCTGGCTGGTCGTGAGACCTGCAGCGACCGGTGAGCTCGCTTTGCGCTTGCAGGCGCGGGAGGCCCGCCGGTACAGCTCGGCAGCTTGAGCTGCTTCCTGCCTGCCCTCCCCCCCGCCCCGGCTCAGTCCCATCTCCGCTCCCCGCTGCAGGGATGTGGGGCTTCCACGACCGGGACCTGGTCTTGCGGAAAGCTCTCTACACCATGATGAGGACGGGGGCTGAGAGAGAGGCCCTGAAGCGGCGGTGGAGGTGGCAGCAGACACAGCAGAACAAGGAGGTGGGTGCCTGCGGCCGCGCCCTGACCGGGGACCCCTCCAGCCGCGGCGAGTCCGGGGCCCTGCCCCAAGGCCACGTCCGTCTGTGAGGTCAGGCGGAGGAGCTCAGCCCCCGGCGCGGTGACCCCGAGCCCGACTGGGAAAACCCACCACCTCCCCTCCCAAAGGCCGCCTGTGTCACGTCCCTGCTGGGGGCGGCATGGGGGTCGGGCACAGCCACAGGGAGGCGCTGGCCCAGCCCACGGCCCCAACCATGTGTGCTCACAGTCAGAGGCCCAGACGTCCTGCCTGCGTGGACGCAGGCACATGGCCGCCCCGGAAGGAGGGTCTGCCGGCCGTGTGACGAAGTCCTTCAGACGCCTCACGGTCGCCCCCTGGGAATGATGCTCGGTGCTGGGTGCACGCCCAACAGCATTGAAATCAGAGACTGAGCGTCCTGAAAAATATCGTCCATAGCCCATGGAGACAGTCGGTGCCCGGGCTGACTTGGCCGGGGAGGGCGCGGAGGCCGCCGGTGCCTGACCCCGCGTGCCCCGAGCCTGACCCCGGCCCCCTGTGCCAGTCAGGGCTGGTGTACACCGAGGAGGAGTGGGAGCGGGAGTGGACGGAGCTGCTGAAGCTGGCCTCCAGCGAGCCGCGCACGCACTTCAGCAAGAACAGCGGCACGGGCGGGGGGTAAGTGCCGGCCCGGCCCCTTGGGAGGGGTGTTGGGGGGCACCTAGACCCTGAGACCGGGGGGCGGAGAAAGTCCCGCCTCCAGGTGGTAGATTCGACTCGAGGGCGCAGGGGAGGGCCGTGGGCAGGTTCCGGACACCTTCTAGACCCTTGTTGGGGGGGGGCGGTGCCCAGCCCCACATGCCTGTCACAGGCCTGCGCCCACCGTGTTCCCTGGCCCTCGTCACACGACGTTGCAGGCGGCGGCGGGGAGGGTGCCCGGGGACAGCCGTGGCCCTTCCCACTCACTGGGCTCTGACACCGCAGGCTGCCAAGTTTCAGGTTTTTCCCAACTAAATATCTCATGTCTGGCATCGAGAAGGCACCGTGAGAGCAAAGGCTCATGCGGCGAGCCCAGCGTCTCCCGGGTGAGCCCCGGGCGCGCCACGCGTGTCCCTGGCAAAGAGGCAGTGCCGTGGCAGAGGGGCGGGCAACGCTCGTTTCTGCAGACTCAGCCGGAATGTTCCCGTGTGGGACGGGTGCAGCCAGAGGGCGGCCACGGGGCCTTCGGGTTGGACTTTTTTAAATTTTTATTTTATTGATTTTAAGAGGAGGGGCAAAGAGAGAGACATGGAGACAGAAAGAAACATCGCTTTGTTGTTCCACTTACTGATGCGTTCATTGGGTTATTCCTGTGTGTGCCCTGACCGGGGATCGAACCTGCAACCTGGGTGCATCGGGACAACGCTCTAACCCACTGAGCCCCCCGGCCCGGGCTGGTCGTACTTTTTGAAGCTGAGGTCCAAGTTGCGGCCCCCATAGGAAGTCACAGCCAACCACAGAATCCACCGTGGATTCTGACACCGGCGAGCCCCCAGAAAGGACGGGTGCCCGTGGAGCGCCACTGAGCTGTGTGGCCTGGCTGGCCGGACTTTGTTCCAAAGGAATTCAAGTCCTTGGCCGTGGGCCGTGTGTGCAGGGCCGTGTCCCCACGTCACCCCGCCCTGCACCCTCAGACAGGGCCACAGCTGCCTCTCACCCGAGTCCTCAGTCCTCAGGGACCTCTATTGGTCCGTTCATTCCGGGTGTCCCTCACCTGAGGGCACCCAGGAGAAAGCCCAGGCACCACCCGGGCCAGCACCGCGGATGCACAGAGGCCCCGTTGGACTGGGAGCACGGGCTCCCTCTCGCCTCTCGATGTTTCCTCCCCTTTGGGTGCCTGCTTGTTGGGGGACATCAAGGCCACAGCCTTCGGCCCACACGTCGCAGCATCATGACGGCAGCAGTTCGTGGGGCCTGCTCTTCCCCCGAGCCTGGGACTCGATACAAGGGCGCGGGCTGGGGACAGCCGCAGAGGCCGGGGGCAGATGTCCAGTCCCTTCCTGCCCTCCGGCTTGAGGACTGAGGTCCAGGCAGCCTTCTCACCACCCTCTCCCGGGAGCGCGTTTGGAAGAGGCCCCACCCGCCTGCCTGATGCGCCGGGGCTCACAGTGCCAGCCAGTGGGAGGAGGCCGAAGTGCTAGAGTCAAAGGGAACACTCCCTCCCTCTGGCCCCTGCTGCGTCCCGAGCGTTGCCCCAGCGAGCGGCCCCCAGGGCCCGCGCACTCCCCGTGGGCTGCCTCGCCCCCAGCAGGACCTCCTCCCCTGAGACCACCCACCCAGACTGGGCACCTGTGCGTTTATCATCAGCGGGGGGGCATGGGAGGCAGGGGGCCCCGGGGGGCCCTTGCTGGCCAGGGTCCCTAGGTGTCCGCTCGGAGGGAGGTGTCCCGTCTCCAACCCCCCCCCCCCTTCCAACCAGCCCAGTGACCGCGCCCCCTTGCTCTGCCCCATCCGCAGCGCGGACAACCCCGAGGACCCCGTGTACGAGAGCCTGGAGGAGTTCCACGTCTTCGTGCTGGCCCACATCCTGAGGAGGCCCATCGTGGTCGTGGCAGACACGATGCTGAGGGACTCGGGCGGGGAAGGTGAGTGTGCTCAGCGGGACACAGGCGGAAGCAGCGTGGCGTCCCCTCGGCCTGTCCCGGCCCCTCCTGCCCCTCTTCAGGCGACTGTGTTAGAGAGAAAAAAGGGACTCAGAGAGCGGGCAGCCGGCGGCAGGGCCGGCGGAAAGGGCGGGAGGGCTGCGGCCGATCCTGCGCCCCTGGCTCTCGCGTCTGCGGCCTCTCTGCGCGGCCCCCGCCCCAGCCCTCGCCACAGCGTCTCCGCCGGCTCCACGCGCCCTCGCCCATGTTTGTGTCCGCAGCCTTCGCGCCGATCCCGTTCGGCGGGATCTACCTGCCCCTGGAGGTGCCTCCCAACCGGTGCCACTGCTCGCCTCTGGTTCTCGCCTACGATCAAGCGCACTTCTCTGCCCTGGTGTCCATGGAGCAGAGAGACCAGCAAAGAGAACAAGGTAGGCCCGCTGCCTGAGGCGGGCGCTGCGCGGGGGCAGGGTGGACGCCGCAGGGCGCAGCGCGGGGGCGGGGGCGGGGGCGGGGGCGGGGGGGCCTCCCCGGGGCTGGGGGAGGGGGGTGTGGGGTGGAAGCACGCCCTGCGCACGCGCCCTCGGCAGCGACGAGTTGTGCATAGCTGTGCTACCATGGATGTGCGTAAATGTCGTCACTGAAAATAACAGTGTTCGCGGGGGGCGGGGGCAAGGATGGGCTCAGTGACTATGTCTTAAACACCTGCTGCATCCGGGTCTGAGGAACCCAAAGATGTCAGCGTCCCTGCTTGGGTCGGCAGGGGGGTCCTTACCCCCTTGAGGGGGGCACAGGCAACCCCACCAAGCCACCCTGCATGTACCAGGCAGAGCGCGCGCCCCAGGCTGGCATGAGCTCCTTTCAGGAGGGGGCAACTGTTACAATTCAGAACAGAGATTTAGAGGCTGCGCGTGACGCCCGGAGGCTGGTGTCCAGGGGCAGACGGGCCTGAGCGAGTGCTGGGCTGCCGAGGGGGTGTTGCAGGCGCTGCAGGGAGGCGCCTGGGGCCCAGAGAGGCCTCGGCGCTGCCGCTTCCTCACCGCGTGGTGCCCTGTGACCTCCCAGCGCTGCCCCCACCTCCCTGGGTGCCGGGCCCCTCTTCCTTGCTCCCCTCGCCCCTCCCCGTCCTCTCTTCTGCCCCTTTCCTTCCTGCCTGCCCAGTGCCCCCATGGGGCCGCCTCTCATTTGACATGCTCAAGGGCCTCGCCCCTTAATTATAAAGTGACCATCCCGGGATGGTCCCTCCAGGCAACCAGCCACCTGGGCATCCCTTAGGCCAGGCAAGTTGACACTTAAAATTAACCATCAGCGTTTCCCCTGGTGGCAGGCTGTCCGGTTCTATGTTCTCTCCCTGGGCTACGCTCTTTCTTTGCTGGTTTGGGAACAATTTGAGCTGAGTTCTCACTGGCATCCCGCCGAGCCTGCCCCGAGTGAGGTCATGTCCGCCGCTCTTCGGAGGTGCCCCTTCCCTTCGCGTGCGGTCTGGCAGCCCGGCGACGTCAGCGCTCTGGGGTCACAGGGGACGCGCCAACGGGCCGGTTGCCTGGCTGCTACTGGTTGTTGTAACAATAGTTCGGTGCCCTCTCAGCCCTTCCCCTCCCGAGCAGAAACCTCCACTCTTTTGTGGAAAATGAGTGCTTGAAATATGTCCAGACTAGTTTCAGATGGTGCCTATATATTTCCAGGTTAAAAAATAGGAACCTTTCCAAGAGAAAAAAAAAAAAAATCCCTGGGCAGTGTGGCTCAGTTGGTTAGAGCATCGTCCCGTAAACCGAAAGGTCCCAGGTTCGATATCCACTTAGGGCACGTGCCTGGGTTGCAGGTTTGATCTGCAACAAGTGAGCGAGGTTTCCCTTTCACATTGATGCTTCTCTCTGTCTCTCTGTCTCTCCCTCTCTAAAAAAAAATGAAATTAATATAACCAACATATGATTGGTTATATTGTACCAACTAAATATAACATAACTGTAGTTGGTTAAGTACACCAATGATACTTAACTTTAAAAAAAAACCCTGAAAAGTTTGCAATCACATTTGGAAAGGCACTTGCTGTTCCTGAGCTTTGCCAGCAGAGGGCGAGCCACTGCCTCACCTCTAGCAGGGAGGTCGGGGTTGCGATGGGGAAGAGTAGGGGTGTGAGGAGAGGCAGAGGCACCCACAGCCGCTGTTGAGAGCGGGGAGGGCTGTTCTGGAGGCCTTCCCGGTGTGTCCAGCCGTGCGCTGGGTCCTCTGGCCCTGAGACCCAGCCCTCAGCACGGCCCATAGCTGCACCCTCTGAGGGGAAGACGCCTGCAGGTAGCCCGGGGGGTCTCTCCTGCTGGCCCCACCCGGCACCTGGCCTCCCCCACCCTAACACGCAGGCTGAGCGACGGCCAGGCCCCACTAGGCTGTCAGAGCCCGACCCCTTCGGGCGACTCCCATCTTCTGATCGGCGGGGGGGCTGCCCAGGAGCCCTTGGAGGGAGGCCGAGGGGTTCACCTTCTCGACGCGGGGAGTCAGCAGGAGCCCACTCCTGCCGTCCTCAGCAGGCACACGATGCGGGCGCAGGGGAGGCCGCCCGCCCCCAACCACGTCCCACGGGGCACGCGGGCACTTCTTCCGTCCTCAGCGCGGGGGGCTGCCGCCTCTCCCCCGGGGAGGGGGCTGGACAGCCAGGCCCCGATTGCCCAGGGTGCACCCGCAGAAACGGCTTCAGGCAGATTACTGTTCTAGGACAGCCATTTCCAGATCTGCCTGCTTTGAAGAACCGCGAGGGGTGCTTGCTTATGGTGCAGTCGTTGGAACCTTTTCCCGGCCACTGGTCTGGCCGCGTGGGCGGGGGGGCGGGGTGGCTGGCATGGGACCTTGGCCAAGGATTCCGGGGAGCTGAGCCGCCCTAGGAAGGGCCCAGGAAGGGACCCTCTGTGGCCCCTATGCCGCCTGCCGATGGGAAGCCAGGCCAACCTCCCCCCGTTGACGTGGCGACGCGTGGAGCCACAGGACCGGCCTCCTGGCCAGTCCAGACCCAGCTGCAGCCCAGCCCGGGGAGGGCGGCCGCGCGTGGCGGCTACATCAAGGCAGGCTGAGCCGCCGGCCTCCCAGCCGGAGCGCGGTGCCGCCGGAACAGGGAAGACCCGGGCGCAGCTCGGCTTCCCTTTCGTGGGCGATGCGCGGGCGGGGTGACCTGCGCTCCCAGTTCCTCCTCAGCGCCGCTGGAGGGCAGCGTTGAGTCGACCTGACGGGCACGGAAGGGTGTTCAGACTCCGCTTCTGTTTACTTGCCTTTTGTTCTTGCCCTTGCACCCCGGCCCTGAATCCTGGGAAGGGGCGTGGCAGCTGGCTCGGGGCCAGCACCCGAGGGACGGGAGTGGGGAGGAGGAGGAGGAGGAGGCAGGCCCAGGACAGGAATGGTGCGTAGGGGCTCCTGGACCGGCCAGGCTCCTGGTGAGGAACGCAGCCTGCGGGAGGCGCCAGGTGCCTGGCGGCCGGGGCAGGGGCAAGAGGAAGCCTGCGTTCGGGAGCCCCGGCCCAGGACCAGCGGTGCCAGACCCCTTCCCTTCTGTGAGGGGCAGTGGTCACATCTGCTTCCCAGGAGGATGGGACAGCAGAGCGAGGGCCCTGACAGAGGACCCCCCGCACAGCGCGACCCGGCTGCACCGCGTGAGGGCGCCCACAGGTGCCCCCGCCCCCCCACCCCCCGCAGCGCTTGGACCGGCAGGCCCCCTACAGCGCTGCCCCCCCCCCCGCAGGCACACGTGGAGCCAGGAAGCCCGCTCCAGCGAGCGCAGCAGGTGGCCTGGCCCCAAGCGCCTGGCGTGCTGCTCAGGGGGGGCCGCGGCGGGGGTCTGGCCCCCTCCCTTCCTGCCCCTGGTCCCGCTCTCCGCTCCTCGTCAACGGGAGTGGCCGTGTGGCCAGGGAGCGGCCCTCGCTGGGTCCCGCAGCTGCTCGGAAGCTGCCAGCAGATCCCAGGCCAAGCTGCACACGCCGCTCCGCCCCAGCCTTTCCGGGGAGCCAGCGCTCCCCCAGCTTCAGTGCCGCTGCTCAGGGGGGTTCGTGATGAATCAGTCACACACACCCCAGCCCCGTCTCTCTTCACTGCAGTCTCCACCCACCTGCCTGTCACGTCCGCCCAAGTCCCCTCCCCAGCCAGCCTCCCACAGCCGGCTGTTCACCGTGCAGGGCGCCTCTCGCTCCCTGACACGCGGGGAGGTGTTTGTCGCCGGCTCATCCTGCCCGGACACGGCAGGTGAGCTCCCTGCAGGCGGCCCCGAGCCCCCCGTGGGTGGCCGCCCCCGCGGCTCGCTGCGCTGACAGCCGTGAGTGAACGCGCACGGGACAGGCGCAGGCAGCCCGGGAGCCTCCCCGGGAAGCGAGAGGCGGGCGGCACCAGGCCACCTTGACCTGCCGGTGGCCGCGCACAGCGTGCCGAGCCCCCCTGGGTCTTTCCTCGGAAACAGCAGCAACAGCAGCAGCCCTTCCTGTCCGCGGACAGACCCCAATCCTCCACCGCCTCTCCAGCTCCGCTTCCGACGCGCCTTAAACCGCGAAATCCCCGTCGGTAGCGGCACCTGCGGTTCTGCCTGCAGGCGCGCACCCGCCCGCCGGGGGTGCTTTTAGTTCCCGATCCTCCCCGGGAGAGGAGTAACATGCCCACCCAGAAAACAAGTCGTGGGCAAGTCACAACACAGGAGCTATCTCAGCGGAGATCGGAACAGCCTGCGCCGCGGGGGCATGGGGTTAATGGCAGGCCGCGTGGGGTTCCCTGGCAAAGCCAGGGGGCTGGCGCTGGCGTCCTGCGAGCCTGACGCCCCCGCGGCGCAGAGGTTGCGCGGGTCCCCGTGGCTCTCCTTACCACGGAGGCACCTGGGCTTGGAGCGCCTGACCCCCGCTCCCCCTGCGGGCGCTCGGGGGATCACCGTGGGCACCCTGGCAGCGCGACGCCCTCTTCTCTTCCAGCCGTGATCCCCCTGACGGACTCGGAGCACAAGTTGCTGCCCCTGCACTTCGCGGTGGACCCCGGGAAGGACTGGGAGTGGGGGAAAGACGACAAGGACCACGCCCGGCTGGCCCAGTAAGCCCTGCCCCGCCCCCGCGCCCCCTCCCTGGGCAGCTGTCCAGGCGCGTGCGCGGGCGGGGGTTTCACCGGCGTCTTCTCTCGCCAGCCTGATCCTGTCGCTGGAAGCCAAGCTGAACCTCCTGCACAGCTACATGAATGTGACGTGGATCCGGATCCCCTCGGAGACCCGGGTGAGCCTGGCGCCGCGGGCTGGGAATGCGACCGCAACCGCGGGCTGCTGGGGTCCCACCCGCGAGGCTGCCCCTGGGCCCAGCCCTGCGCGCTGCCCACTCCCGAGGCTCTGGCGCGCGAAACCCCGGGGCCCACGGATGCACACTCCTGCCAGGGCGTGTCTGCCCCCTATTTTCCCCAGGAGAGGGATGCACACGCCCGCTCAGAAAACAAACCGTGGGCAAGTCCTAGCGCACACACACTATCTCCGCGGAGATCGGAACAGCCTGTGCCGGGCGGAGTTGACGATAGGCCGGGTGGGGTCCCTGGAACAGCCCGGGACCCCTCCACGTCTCCGCTGCTTCCAGATGCCAGGCGCTGGCTGATGTTTGGTCAGCTCAGTAGTGAATTCCCAGGGAAAGGGATTTGTTTAAAAAAATTTTTTTAAATAATCAGTCCTGCCCAGACATCAGTTTATTTAGCCAGAAAGCGGGACTGATGTTAAAGGCGGAGTCAGGACCCAGTGCTTTCAACGCTTCAGTCTTTACCTGCACAGGCAGGTACAGACTCCCCCGTCACTGATAGCGCACGTGACAGCCAGCGCCTGCCCATCAGGCGCCCACAGCACCCGCTTCCCCGTGGATGTTCCTTCCTGGCCCCTAGGAGGGGCGAAGGCAGCGGCTCTAACCCAGAATCAGGTGGCTCTTGAGCCACAACACAGCCCTGTTCCGCAGCGAGTAAGGCCCCTGCGGGGCCCTGGTGACGCCCCCGTCCGGCGCCGGCCCGGCACCCAGCGCCGGCCCTTCCAGCCCGGGAGCCCTTGGGCGGGGCTCCTTGCTAACCGCGCTCCCAGCGGGCGCTGCCCAGCACCAAGCACAGCCCCCTCGCCCAGCGAACCCCTGAGCTGCTACCCTCTGAGTGAGACCTCCCGCTCCTCCGGCCCTGGGCAGGATGGCAAGGGCGGTGGCGAGGGCTGGCTCCACCGCCCACGCTCTCAGGGACCTGGCTGCGGGGGGCGGGGGGGGGGCCACCCCTCTCGGATCCCCTTTGTGAGGCGGGGCAAAAGTAAAGTGGGCAGTAATGGCCCTTCTCCCTGGCTCCTCCCCCCGGAGCCAGGAGAGCCCGGAGCACCGGTTCCAGCCACACCCGGCAATGCTTCGGGAGAATCCCCCGCCTCTCCTGGGAGGGAGCCTGCAAATGGCAGCCGGTGGTGCCGCCCACCCTCAGCCCCCTCCCGCCCCCTTTCCCAGGTTCTCACCTTCCTGGGCCCTGGTCCGGGCCCTGTGTCCACACGGCCTCCCCCCGGGTCAGAGGGGAGAGGCTTCCTCCCGACGCTCGGCCCAGCCGCGCCCAGGGCCTTTTCATGGAATGGTAACATCTCCCCCGATGAGCCCAGGTTCTATTCCAAAATCCTTCTCAACTTAGCACCCCACCCTGCCCGTCTGTGACAGGGTCCCCCAAGTGGCTGGGCATCACTGGGTGGAGAGGACGTTTGTTCCAATACTCTAAGGATAAGATTCCGAGGACAAGGTGTCCGTGCCCTGCCTGGAGCGCACAGGAAAGATGCCTTTGTAGGAGAGGTGCCCACAGGTGCAGACAAAGTATCACCCTCACCAGAAGGCCCCTGTCGGTACAGAGAGGCTGGCCTGGGACCTGGGTCCCCGGCCCCCGGTCCCACGTCTGCACGGGCGACAGCGGCCTCGCCAGGGCTGCAAGGCCAGAGCCTGGGCCGGGAACCCTCTCTCCAGCACGCAGAGGTGCTGGGGCTCAGAGCCGGGTGGGTACCTCGCCCGAAGGACACAGCACAGGGGTCCAGGTTCCCTGCCACCCGAGTCCACCCAAGAGGCCGTCGGGACTGGGACAGACAGCCAGAGAGCCCAGCAGAGCGCCGCCAGGCAGGGGCAGGTGTGTCTTCGCGGGTCCCAGGTGGGGACGGCTCACCTCTGACCTCCCTCCCGCCCCGCCCTCCCTGTCCCCCCACAGGCCCCTCTGGCACAGCCGGAGTCCCCAACGGCCTCCGCGGGCGAGGACGTGCAGTCTCTGGCCGACTCCCTGGACTCGGACCGCGACTCGGTGTGCAGCAATTCCAACAGCAATAACGGCAAGAACGGCAAGGACAAGGACAAGGAGAAGCAGCGCAAGGAGAAGGACAAGACCCGCGCGGACTCCGTGGCCAACAAGCTGGGCAGCTTCAGCAAGACGCTGGGCATCAAGCTGAAGAAAAACATGGGCGGCTTGGGCGGCCTGGTGCACGGCAAGATGGGCCGCGCCAACTCCGCCAACGGCAAGAACGGCGACGCGCCCGAGCGCGCCAAGGACAAGAAGGCCAAGTCGCGCAAGGGCAGCAAAGAGGAGTCCGGCGCGTCCGCGAGCACGTCGCCGTCAGAGAAGACCACGCCGTCGCCCACGGACAAGGTGGTGGGCGCATCGCCGGCGGACAAGGGCAGCGGTCCGCGGGGCGACTCCTGGAAGTACAGCACGGACGTGAAGCTGAGCCTCAACATCCTGCGCGCCGCCATGCAGGGCGAGCGCAAGTTCATCTTCGCCGGCCTGCTGCTCACCAGCCACCGGCACCAGTTCCACGAGGAGATGATCGGCTACTACCTGACCAGCGCGCAGGAGCGCTTCAGTGCCGAGCAGGAGCAGCGGCGCCGCGACGCAGCCACCGCCGCCGCCGCCGCCGCCGCCGCCGCCGCAGCCGCCTCGGCCAAGCGGCCGCCGCGCAGGCCCGAGGCCGAGAGCGCGCCGGGCTCCGAGCGCGCCTCGCCGGGCCCTCCGGCCGGGCCGCCCACGCAGCTGGTGCTCAAGTTCAAAGAGCGCCCGAGCCCCGGGCCAACAGCGGGCACGAGGGCAGCGCGGGCGGCGGCGGGTGGCGCGGCCTCCCCGGGCCCCGGCGGCGGGGGCGCGCGGCGCGCGGGCGCCAGCGGACCGGCCCCCGGGCGCAGCCCGCCGGCGCGCCAGAGCGTCATCCACGTGCAGACGGCGGGCGCGCGGGACGAGGCGTGCGCCCCGGCCGTGGGCGCGCTGCGGCCGTGCGCCACGTACCCGCAGCAGAACCGCTCGCTGTCGTCGCAGAGCTACAGCCCGGCGCGCGCCGCCGCCCTGCGCACGGTCAACACGGTGGAGTCGCTGGCGCGCGCCGTGCCCGGGGCCCTGGCGAGCGCGGCGGGGGCGGTCGGCGCGGCCGAGCCCAAGTCGCAGACCTACACCAACGGCTTCGGGGCCGCGCGCGACGGCCTGGAATTTGCCGACGCCGACGCGCCGGCCACGCGCTGGAACGGTGAATGTGGCCGCGGCGGGCCGGGCCCGGCGCAGCGGCGCTGCCAGCGCGAGAACTGCGCGTTCTACGGGCGCGCCGAGACCGAGCACTTCTGCTCCTACTGCTACCGCGAGGAGCTGCGGCGGCGGCGCGAGGCGCGCGGGGCTCGGCCCTGAGCGCGCGCCTGGCGGCTCGCCCAGGAAAGAACTGCTTTCCATTCTGTCGGTGTCTTTTTTTACGTGCCCTGGTCACCCGGAAGGCCGGCAACCCCTGTGTCAGTGCCGTGTACGTGTCTGGTCAAACGTTCCTACTGGTGCCTGAACCTACACTGACGCCACTCAGGTAGTAGACGGATAGGAAACAAGTCATACTGTCGGCAGTGGGTGTGCTAGCTAGCATCTGCCTCGTACCGTGGAAACTCATAGCCATTGCAAGAGTATTTTTGTTCCGAAATAAAGAAATTTGCAGCCCTTTGTTTTTAGAAGGGAGTGTTTTACATGCTTTTTTTGTTTTTTCCTAACCCAGCGACTGACCTCTTCCATGCAGCGGTCACACGTGTGCACTTGGTACCACCCAGGACTCAGAAGCAAAGGCGCGCGGCCTGGGACTGAGGCGGCCGCCCTGCTGTGGGCGCCGCCTGCAACCCCTCCCGGGCCCCGGAGGAGAGGAGGCACGTGGCCTCCCGCTGACGCGCCGGTGGTCACCGAGGCCCTTTAGGAACGTACACGGCTCCATCTCATACGCAAAGCCTCCTCCCGCAGGCCCCCGGCTCGAGCGCCTCCCACACTGCCATCCAAGCCGCGGGCGTCGGTAGGCTGGGCACCGGACAACCTACCTCGCAGGGCGCGGTGAGGTGTAGCGACCTTCCCCGGTGCCGGGCAGCTCAGGGGACAGGCGCTTTCCAAAGACACCCTGGGCCCAAACAGCAAGGTTCTGAACTCACTACTCGGAGCTGCCCGTATACGAGCGAAGATGCCAGCCTGGCCACACTTCTCCTTTGAAGACACTCCCGCCGGTGGACTGTCGCCGGAGGGCCCCCAGGAAGTGGTCGCGGTGCCCCCGGAGAGAGGCGAGGCGTTGACCCTTTGGTTCAAAGACCCACGAGGCTGGTTTGACACTTGGCTGCGCCTCTTTCCGAAGGGAAGCCTGCCCCCGACCCCACCCGCATCCGTCCGGGTTCAGCCAGGTACTGGGGACAGCCCAGCCCATGGCCCCGTCACACACCGAGGGGGCAGCCCCATCCCTGAGCGGTCCCTTTTTTTGGTGCCTCCTACATTTCTTGAGGAAAAAAAAAAATGTGTCCTTAGCCACCCTGTGTCGGGCAGCAATACGCAGCCTCTTCTTTCCAAGATTACCTCTGGAGGCCACGGTTCTTGGTCGAGGACACTGAGGAGCGAACCCAGCCTCGCTGAGGAGAGCGCTTGTTTCCAAGGAACGCGGAGAAGAGGGGGGAAACCCTCGCTAGCAAAAGAGTAACTTAAACCCTGTGAGAGCCTTAGGGGAGCCCTGAATCACCCCGAAACAGGGGGAAGCGCCCGGCTCCGCTGCGCGTGCGCCCCCGGGACAGCAGGGCGGAGACCATCTCTTCACTGGAGCCAGCTTCTCCTCCGGAAAGGATGCTTCCCCCGGACATAAAGAGCAGCAAAAAATAATAATAATTATTATATATATATACACACACACACACGGGGAGGGGATTTTTTTTACTTGTTTGAAGAATTATAATAAACTAATTTGAGTATCTCCTGTGCGTAATTCCTTTTTGTTTTTTAATTATTCCAAAGCACGTGGGGGTTTCGGTACTTCATTCACGTTTTGCATAAGCGGTTCCTGAAATCAAGCAAAATTAGTTAAGAAACAGAGGCTCTTAAGAAATTTTTTGGAAGTTTTCACTTTTCATGCCAAACGATGCTTTCTGTGTGTGGTGATTACTAACCCCCACGTCCCTGATGTTCCGGGGGTTTCTTTTGTTACTCAGAACCACAAAAAAGGGAGTTTTTTAAAAATCCCCAAAGGGCCTGTGGTAGCTCTGGGGACTGACTCTTTGTGCCATGTTTCGCCACCGAAAACCTTAGGACGAGCTGTTTCGTGTGTAGACGCTGTGGCCACACCGCTCAGCCTTTAGAGATTGGAGCCGCTGCCTCAAAGCGCTCACCTGTGCACCCCAAAGCCCGACGCACACGCACACAGAACCCAGGAGGCATAAAGTCAAGTCTCGCTTATTTTTACACTTTTTTTTTTTAACGTAAAACAGCCAACCAGAAATTTCCAAAACTGGCTGTGCAAATATTGTATCTTCCTCATGCTCTCTGCCAGGTTTCTGCTTTTTTCCCTTTAAGGTAAACTGAGAATAAAATCCATCCGTCGTAATACGAAAGGAAAACCTTCAAAATTGGGCAGTGTCATTTGTAGGTCTTAGCAAATCAAGGTCACGAATTTCGAAGTCACCTCCCCTCCAACCCCGTCTTATAAATGTGCGATAAGTAACAGCGTGAGAAGCAGCCACGGCCACCCCGTGGGCCACGCCCACCCCGTGGGCTCCTCCCACCCCGCAGGCTCCTCCCACTCCGTGAATGCCGCCCATTGTGGGCTCCTCCCTGACTTGCCGCGGGCCCCAGCTGGCTCCATACACCGGGCATCCCTGGGTGCTGCTCCTGGCTAGGAGCACCCTAGGATTCGGTCCACTTGTCTACAGAGCGCTGTGTCCTTGTGTGAGAGGCCCCGCTCCGTCCTCCCTCGAACCAGGATGAACGCATGAGGGGTGCACGGTTGTGTTAAGAGTCACGAGTCCCCTGCATGAAAGTCCCCTCCGTGTGGCTCAGAAACCGCCTGTAGACGGGTCCCCGGTCAGAGCTCCCCTGGACCAAATTAGTTAACAGGCTGGGCAGGAACTAGTGGAAACTGCATGGTTTACAGGTGGGCCGAGAGGTGCCCTGACACCCTTCTGTGACGTGGGGACACTTTGTGGAGCAGGGAAGGGGAAGTGAGTTATAGGCGCTGGAGAACAAGAGGGAAACCAGTCCCAGTTCTAGAAAGGTCACCGGCCTCATCGCCTGGCACGTCCTGGGCCGGGCTGAGTGGCCGACCTTCCCATCTGATCTGGGCAAACGCCCTCGTCCAGGGAGGTCAGATGTCTCCACGAGGGAGATGCTTCTAAACCCGGGGGGGGGGGGGTTGCCTCCATAATTTAGTTCACGTTTCCGCATATGCATTACCTAGATATATCATTTTTTTAAATAATATATTGTTAAAGAAAGGTGTTTTTAATGTATGCTATCTGAAGGCTTTACACTACGTGACCTTCTGTTACGTAGTTGAAACTTCACAAGCCAAGTTGAAACTGTACTCCGGAAATTATTTTTCTATTATTTTCAGGAGATGCCACAGAACCATTATGCTGTGTCCTGACCTTGTCATGGAGTTGTCCCCTCCAAAAGGCAACTCTGGCTGGGGAAGGGCTCCTTTGTGGGGACTTGGAGCTTACATGCTTTTTGCTATTTGTCCAGATCCCCCCGGAAAGCGGGAACATGTACGTGTCTTTTCTTTTCTCGTGGAGAGCGCAATTTTTTTGTCATTCCTGGATTCAGGCCCTACACCTTTTCCTCGTCAATGAATACTCAGTACTCAGCAAGTTACTCGATACCCAGCAAACGTGGACTTTTTCTTACGCGGTAGCACGAGAGGCGCTCGGAAGCATTTCCGTCTGTTGCCTTACACAGCTGATGTTTTCCAAAGTGGCCGAGCTTATTCCTTCTGGCGGCGACAACAGGGCTCTCCATGCCCCAGGGGACACGCCTCTGGGTGTGAAAATACATGGCCCTCCCCACCCCGGGCATCCCCAAGATTATTTTGCAAACCCCTTTGCAAAAAGAAACATAACTGACCAAAAATATAGGGTGTGGCAAAAGTAGATTTACAGTCGTTCTTGTACTAATACAATTCAATAATACAATAATAAATGATAATACAAGAATAAACTCTGTGTTTGGCTTACTCACTGTAAACCTACTTTGCCACGCCCTGCATGTCTCTTACTAGTTAAGAGAAAAGGGCTGTACCCATCGGTGGCGGGCAATTTGTACCAGGGAGGAAAGGGGGTTGCCAAACGCACGCGTGTGAGTTCCGTCCTTGGTGCTTCCTGTTGACGAGAAGCTCCGCTGTGCGAGGGGACAGCAGCCACCCACACTCTGGGCTTCTTCCCTTGGGACGGGATCCCTTCTTCTCTCATTGCGGGGTGGGCGTTCACAAATGAAGTTCCTTGAGAGTTTTTCCTGTCTTCCTTTGAAATTCTAGTAAATTCAGAAGAAAACACGTTCCTGTGGCTGAGTGAGCCCCGCCTTGTCAGAACTCGGTCCATGGGCTGCGGGGGTGGCCAGCCATCTTGTCCCCGGAGGGCGGGCACCGGGGACAGGACCCAAAAGAGGTGGCGGCAGTCTTGGCACCAAGACGCAGCATCCCCCCACCCCCCTTCCAGAAAGCCTTAGCATGGTGGCTCTCTGGAGACCTCTGAGCACAGGCCTGAGCGCAGTCAGGCCTGACTGTAAACTCTCTGCCCGAAATGGCCGGTTCCGGTGCGTGGTCCGGGGCGGCGAGGGACACTCAGCTCCCCTCCCGGTTCATCCACACCTGCCCCGTCCAGAGGGTCGCCGGTTCTGTCGGCACAGAGCACGCGTGTGAGCTGCGCTGACCCCGGGGCAGTCCGGGGGGGGGGTCATCCCCACAGGCGTGATGGTGAGGGCCCCCTGTTCACCCCAGGAGGCCCACCGGGCTTCAGGGAGCGCTTCCGGGGTGCAATCTTTGGAAGGTTTTCATGACAGCTTCAAGCAGTGTGCAAGATGCTGTTAGTAGGTTCATGGGGGACTTCCCTCCCCCAGTCCCGCCTTTGTTCCCACTCTGCACCCAGCAGAGGAGAGAGGGGGAGGCAGCCTGCGCAGACCCCTCGGGGACACCTGGGTGTGTCGTCCCTGTGGTGTGACTACGTGTCACCTCACACAGGCACACTTGGGGACGACACAGAACCACAGAACCCCCTCCTGGCGCGACCAGCAGCTGCTGTTCACGGAGCAAAGCAACGAGTTCAAATTGGCTCTTTTTTACTGTTTTATTCCTGTAAAAAAGAAAAGAAGAATAAAAAATTAAAATGGCCAAGGATTTAAATAGGTATTTTTTTCCGGAA